TGAGACGTCTTCTAAGTAATGCATGAACCGACAAAATCCCTCATACTCAACTATGGAACATGGCTGATTGTCCAATGCAATCATCTCCATTATTTCAGCTATTGTGTCTTTAGCTCTGGTGCTGCTAGGTTTGAATATTGAATACATTTAAATATCAGCCAGTAAGATTGGCCAAGATTGACACTTCAGGCTGTCAAATGCCTTGTTGATGGCAGAGGTTAGAGAAGAATTCCCAGACTGGTTCAAGCTGATAGAAAAACCACTCAAATATCCCACTCATTATAACCAAGGTATGCAGAAAAACATCGCTGAATGTGCTTCCCGTCAGATGGGCTATAGCAGCATAAAACCACATTGGGTGCCACGCCTGTCATCTAAGAACAATGGGCACAAGCTCACCAAAATTGTACAATGGAGGATTGTAAAAATGGTATTTGGTCAGGTAAGTCTCGATTTATGCTGCAACATTCATGCGGTAGGGTTAGACTTGGGAAGCATGGATTCATCCTGGTGGTATAATGATGTGAGGGATATTTTCTTGGCACACTTTGGGTGCCTTAGTACCAACTGCGCTTTATTTAAATGCCACAGCCCACCAAGTCCATCCCTTTATGACCGCAGTGTACCCAGCCTCTAATGGCTACTTCCAGCAGGATAACACACCATGTCACAAAGCTTATATTATCTCAGATTGGTTCCTTGAACATTTCACTGTACTCAACTGGTCTCCACAGTCACAAGATCTTAATCCAATAGAGCACCTATGGGATGTGATGGAACGGGAGATTTGCATCATGAAGGTACAAATCGGCAGCAACTGCATGGTGCTACCATGTGAACATGGACCAAAATCTCAGAGGAATGTTACAAGCACCTTGTTGAATCTGTCATGAAGAATTATGGGTGTTCTAAAGGTAAATTAGGGTCCACCCCGGTACTAGGTATACCTAATAAAGTGGCAAATGAGGGTACATTAAAAATATTTAGCATACACTTTTGTTTAAAGTGACATACAAGTGAGGCAAATAGCACATTACAAGCATACAGTATGTGCTCTCATGAGACCTCTATGTATTGTTTATTCTGTCTTCATAAAGACAATATGTAATACAAAGTAATAATTTGGGGAGAAATATATTGCGCAAGATTCATGACAAAATCTAAATCTTGATTCTGAGTTGGAAAAACCGTGATTCATATTTTCCCCAGAATTGTGTGGCACTAAATCAGATCCCCCCCACTTAATACTGGCATTGAATCAGTGAAGTACATACTGGAGGTCCTGGTTGGATGAGGCAGAATGCATGACATAGTCTGCAAATCACAGCGATGTCACTTCTTGTCCCTCAAACTGGACACCCTTACACAGCTTCCTGAATCTTTGTTCCTCCTTTCTTCCTGCATTGTTTAACTGCTGGACAGACTCTCCTTTCCAGTCTCCTGACATCAGCTTTCCTAGGAGGCTAAGAAGCTGTGATCACCTATAGTTGCACAAGCTGGTCCCCCTTTTTAAAAATAGGGACCACCAGCCCTGCTTACTTATCCAGAGGTATGATCTAGCCATCTGAGTTGTGTCAGCAGTATCAAACTGGCTACTAGCTTGCCCATATCACTACTGGGCTGCAGTTTAACTAGCTAGCTACCTAGCTAGCATTAACTATCTTCCATCATGTTGGGCTGGATGATATGGCAAAATATTTTGTCACAATTTATCAGTCGATATTAATAATTATCATGGTATAATCAAAGTCATTATTTCTTTACTTCAATTTTACACAAAAACAGAGCCTTATCTTAGGATTCCTCTGAAACAGACGACAAATTGAATAAAGTGCAAACTGAAATCTTATTTTAATAAATAAAATTTATGAATTTGTTGCAAGGCACAACATTAGAAAACACTGACACTAGTTTATTGCTGGGATGTTCCTGTGACTGCTTGCCACTCATTCCAGGGAAGCTGACTGACATTGATGGCAGAGTTACCACCCACCGCTTATTGAAAAATACAATGTTGTGTCCCGTTTTGAACTTTTGAATTTTTCCAGTATCTCCTCAACAAATATTATCACTGGGGGGGGCATCCTGTATTTCTTCAGATTGAATTGGAAACCCAAGTGCTTGCATGCTGTATGTTGTACTGGATCATCAAAATAGTAGCATGTGGCGTACTCCACTAACTGAACCAACCTTGCTGTGTGTTTGTTGGGTATAGGTTGTCCAAGATTACCACATGATTGTTTGGATTACATTAACTTCTTCTATGTTGTAATGTGTGCTATCAAGCAATGTTCCTTATCAACAGTGTATCGAAGTTTCTCATTTTTTTGTCATTTAAATTTAATAAGATGAAAAGTCAATATATTATTTAATCACCAAGCCCTATAGTGACCTCTATGACTTCACGGGATCCCCCTGAAGTTGCTGGACATCATGGCTGGCCTGTACACTGGTACTGTGAGTGCTGTGCAGAGTGGAGGGAGAACCTCTGCATTCTTCCCAGTTGATTCTGTGGTTTGGCAGAGGTGTGTTCTTGCCCCCTACTCTGTTCAATGCTTGTATGGACTGGGTGTTGGGTAGGGTCGTGGGGTCCAGCAGCTGTGGGGCGTCTGTTGGTGAAGAAAGATTTACTGATCTTGACTTTGCCGACCATGCCATGATCTGAGCAGAGTCAATGGAGGCTCTGATCGGGGCCCTCGAGAGACTGAGTGATGAGTCTGAGTGTCTGGGATTGCGGGTGTCCAGGATAAAGACCAAGATCGAGGTCTTTAATGACTTCTTAGGCACAGCCATCAGTAGTGTCTCTATTCATGTCTCTATTAACTCTTCCTATGAAGTCAGGAGATGAATTGTAAGAGCCTGGGGGGTTATGAGGTCCCTGGAAAGGGGTGTTTGGCGTTCCCAATATCTTTGCAGTGCTCATGCTCCCTGTCTTGCTGTTTGGCTGTGAGACATGGACTCTATCCAGTGAGCTGAGATGAAGACTCAACTCTTTCGGTACTGTGTCTCTTCTGAGAATCCTTGGGTACCACTGGTTTGACTTTGTGTCAAATGAGCGGTTGCTCAAGGAGTCCCAAATGAGGCACTTTACCTGCATTGTGAGGGAACGTCAGTTACAGCACTACGGCCATGTGGCGAGTTTCCCTGAGGGTGATCCGGCTCGCAGGATCCTCATTGCAGAGGACCCAAGCAGCTGGATTAGGCCAAAGGGACACCCATGTTACACCTGGCTGCGGCAGATGGATGGCCATTTCCAGACGGTGGGACTGGACCATGTGTTTGCCTGGGGGATCGCCGGTCGGGATTCTGAGCAGTTTTGCCGTGTGGTGGATACAACAACGCGCTGCATCAGCGCATGCCCCCCAACCTGACCTGACCTATCAATAACACTAATTAGATCAGGTCAATCTACAAAAGTAAAGCAGCTGTAATCAGATTAGATTATACATTTCAAGTATTCAAAAGGATTACGTTACTGATTACATTTTTAGTCTTGTAATTTGGAATGTCTATGAGATTCCTTTTCTGAGGTAATCTACCCAACACTGATGCTTTCATCCCTGGACAGATTTCAGCTCCCCCCTTAGGCTTTCCACCATGGAGGCTTCTGACCAGCATATTGACTTCAGTTGTAGTGATTGATTGAGTGATTCACCACGAGTTTCCAACATCACCTTCTGGTGAGAGGGCAGTGGAGTTTCTAATAATAATAATAATAGATACTTTATTGATCCCCGTGGGGAAATTCTTTTTACGCCTCCCTCAACTTGCTCTTTGTAGAGCAAGCTGTCCGCGAAGGGCAGCCACCTGTTAGGGCGCCCAGGGAGCTGGGGGATAAGGGCCTTGCTCAAGGACCCACGGACGTGCTGAGGCTGGGTTTGAACCAGCGACCTTGTGATTACAGGCACACGGCTTAGCCCACTGAGCCACACGCTGCCCCTTCTCAAAGTATTCCAGGTTGAGGAGTTCCTCAAGGTGTTCTTTCCACCATCAGTTTCCCCATAGTTGGTCAGCACATCCTCACCCCAGATTAACATATCACGAGCAAGATCCCACCTCCCCATTCTAAGATTCCATCATCAATTCAGTGTTTTAGCAAAACATATTTGGGGCCACCTGAATGTTGCGCTCTATTGCATCTCTAAATTCCTTCTATACATGAGCATTGATCTTCCCAAATGCCTTAACTGCAGCCCTTCTGGCCTGTCATTGCCTTTCAGCTCTCAGGTGACCCCCATGTGAGCATTATTCAGCTTATTCAGTTTGAAAGCTTGCCTGACAGCAAGTGTCCAACAGTGAGTCCCTGGGTTTCCACCATAACAGGCATCAGTTGAATTGCATCGTTGTAGCATCTGCAAAAATTGGGGCTATGAACATGACAGTATGTTTAAGAATTTTGGGTTAATTCAGCTGTCAAAATAAATCCATATATCTAAAGCTTTAAAACCAAATATAAGGAAATGCCAAAATATCTTTTAAGACAACCAGAATAATTTTTAATGTACACTTTGTTTATTAATATTTAAGTAACTGTCACATATATGTTAGGAGCAGTGACAATATGTTGAAGCATAATAATAACAGCTTTAATCACTAACTAAAACAAAACAAGCTAAAAGAAATTCTGAAAAGCTGAAACATTGTTTCTAATCCTTAATATACACAATCAAAAATACTTTTACTTTTTATTTCTCCTGTTTGTTTATAAAGTGTTTTTAATCTTGATTATCTGTTTTAATATTAGCGCAAAAAATGCATAAACAGGGACAAAATGAAATTTAAACTGATGTGTTTATCAAAATGAACTCTATAGACATTGACAAACATCACAAAATAACATGTATTAAGTGTTACTTGTGTAGAGAAAAAAAAATGAAGTAATTTGCTTTAAAGTGAAACTACAATCTGGGGGATAAGATGAGCTGGAGCAGCTGTCCCAGGTCTCCCAGCTCACTTTATCGCACAGGAGCTGGACTGTTTTTGTCTTTCTTTGCTCCCAGCCGCTGCAGCTGCCATTCACCGACGCTCTGTCATGGGCTTCCAACCTCCATTGTCTACAAGTACATGAGCATCCTGTCCGACCGAACTGTGCCATCAGACATTTTTCAAATTCAGGCCACCACCTTCTATGCCAACGCAATCAACACCTTCCGGATCAAGTCGGGCAACGAGGGGAGAAAGTTCTTCATGAGGGTGAGGCTCCAGCTAGACATGTCCACCGTAAGATCTGCACTCTGTAAATCTTTGGAAGAACATAGCTTTCCATTTGCTATTATATATTTTATATATATATATATATATATATATATAATACATGCAGTATATAATCAAAATATATAGTGAAAAGTTTTTGCACACCACAGGTTTTTACCATGTTTCCATTTATTTCATAAACTACACATTTTTCATTCTTAAGTATTAGAAAGTTGGGTGACCAACTATAAATAAAAATTTAAGTCAAATAAAACAAGTTTCCTTTATAACATGGAAAGAGTATGTAACAGTGCATGTCTGACAACCTATTAACTGGTTGTGTGGTGATGACATAGTCAAATTCTAGGCTTTCCTTTAAGTTCAAATGTACCACTTAACTGTTTCATCCCATGAAACAGAGCAGTATTAATGTCCTTTATAGAAATAATGCCTGAAATGTACTTACTCTGTTAGAACTGCTAGAGGTTACTTTGATTAATAAAGTTACTCAAATGCAACATACTGTAAATTTATTTGTTAGCAAAGAATATTGAGTGTGTTTTAGTAAATTTTAAGTGAGTAACATGCAAATGTTGAAAATCTCAGTGTGTGCAAAAGCTTTTGACTAGTAGTATATATTATATATGTAGTTTATATATACACATATACAACTCTAGTAATTAGTGCATATTTCCTTAGAACAAAACATTACACTACGTACAAATGAACGGTAACACAATGAAATAACAAGAATTTCTGTTCTCCAAAAAGTTGCTTGGATGGTTAGTACTGTTGCCTCAGGGCTGCTTTGTCCTTCTGCAATGAGCCAAAGTCGTGACCTACGCAAGCGGTCTATGCCATTGCGAGCATTTGTACTTGTGCACTGGTGTGTCTGTGTCACTTAGCAATTACACTGATAGGTGATACATAGTTTGAGAAGTTGCGTTAGTCTTCCCACCCTGCAATTTAACATTGAACAAAGTATCCATTTTTTGAATCCTGGTTATATTTGTGCTGCTCCAAACTTCCTGTAGGCAAATTTAGAAAAATGTTGAGCTGCTAAAAAGTCACTTTTTATGCATTTTCCCGTATAACGTTAGTGTCTATGCTACTTCTTACTTTTTATAGTCTCGTGAAGTACAAACAAACATAATGGAGGCAAGTGAAGTCGGCTCTGTCATCCTTAGAGTTTGGGCACAAATACTGTACATCAGAAAGCATCTTGTTACAAATTTCAAATACTTATAAACTGTGTTATAGTGTTATTTGTGAAATGAAAATGACTTTTGTGACATTAGTAACATAATGGGACTCAAAAGGTTGCAACTGCAGTAGCGGGTCAGGGTTAGGGGGTGTCGCAATACCGTCTTCTGGAACCGTGATACCAGATGGTAAATGTTCGTATCGTGGTTTAAATCTCAGATTCAAAATCGTTACCCTTAATTTATATTCAGTGTTTCCCACAGAATTAGTGCGGTGACTGACGGGTATCGGTGTGTGCATGTGCACGCGCAAAAATGCACACCAACACTTTCTTAAATTAATTATCATCATGCGTGAAGCTCCCGTTTTGTCTTACAGCAGGTGCTGAACATGCGCAAACTTAAAGAATAAACTGTTTGTCAGATATACGCTGAAAAAATACAGCTATTTATCTGACTAATTAGTATATATTTTTGTAATATGCAACGTCAGGTTCAACAGCCGGTTCTCCCTTTTACACAGGCTCAGTGGCTATAAAACGCCTATATTTAGCTGATATAAATGAATGTTGTACTGAAAAAACAGCTAGCTTGCTAATGCAGTCTTCCATATATGACAAACCACAAGATGGAACTGCCTGCATGTGCATGTTGAAATTCATAACTAAAATGCCACTAGCAGGGTAGCAAGTTAATTCACAAGTTCAATAGCACAGCACTGCTGTTTACTAATTGCTCTATTTCTCTGTCCTATGACATTCAGTGAGCAATGTCCAGTAGTATATTTTACCGCATACTTCACCTTAAGGCAATTAGGGCCGGGCACCAATACAGCTTTCCTTGGATTATGGGCATGGGAAAACGAAGTTCACAAAAAGCAAGCTGGGATGTATCAACTGATTTACAGTACTTGCATCTAGCTAAAGATAGTGATAGGCTATATTTAAAAGTCTGTAAGTCTGGTGATGAAGGATCTTAAAATGACAGAAAATGAATCAAATGACATTTAGTTTTTTAAAATATTTTAAATACATAAAATACAATCTCTGATCTGATTTTTTTCCATACAACAAAATACAAATTACAAAATAATGAAATGTAATTAAATGCATATTTTAAATATATTTAATTGAAATACTGCCCATCTCTGGATATATAAATGGCACTTCAGTTTCAGTCAGCGGTATAAGTGCAACTTGGATGTATGTACAGCTTTCTTTGCTCCCATAAAAAGGGGACCAATCAGAGTTCTAGCAGTTTGCGTTATCACAATGTGTAGTTACATTTCTGGTGAGGTGCTTGTCAGGCTACGATGTGGGGTTCAGCATTGAGTACACAGCTACACCATACTTATGGCATCAATTCAGCGCAAAAGTATAAATCAGTCGACCCACTGGAACCAGGCTTTTAGTCTCTGACATGGCTCTGTGTGTCGAATTTGCATGTTCTCCCCATGTCGTTATGGGGTCTCCTCTGGATTCTGTGGTTTCCCCCCACAGTTCAAATATATACTGAGGTTAATTGAAGTTGCCAGGAGATCTGTAGGTATGAATAGAGTATGTGCCCTGCAATGAGTTGTTGCCCCATCCTGGGTTGTTCCCTGCCTTGCGCCCGTAGCTTCCGGGACTCTGGATCAACCCACGACCCTGAATAGGACAAGTGGGTTTGGAAAATGGATATTGGATGGATAGATGAATGTTCACAGTTAACAATCCTTTCCTCAGGCCCCTGCCATTGCACGTATTTGTCAAATTTCACCATCAAGTCACTTTAATTATCTCTACTAACTAATTAACGTGATGAAGTACTAATTAGCCTCACAAGGTGTGCTAGTGGTTGAGTCAACAAATAAACATGTATATTGCATGGTCACTGCAAATACTGGGGTGACTTTAGGAGAGGTTTTGAAATAGCTAAGCTAATACTGTTTGACAGACATAACATCATTGTTTTACGCCAACATGAAGATCATTTAAGCATAATTTTCTTTGACTGCCTTTTGCACAGCACTGTATGTATATGTACGACGTGTGAATATGCACGCATACATAAAGTACAACAATGTTGCTGTTTTTTATAGCTGACTATATATTAATATTATCTTTGTACTTTTTGGCTTTGTAATGTTCTCCTGGCCTTGTCCGCAGCGCACGAACAATGTGAGCGCCATGCTTGTGCTGACCAGGCCCCTGACGGGTCCACGGGAACACATTGTGGACTTGGAGATGGTGACCCACAACGTGATGAACTACCGCTCCAGTTCTTTGCTGAGACTCACCATCATCGTGGGCCCTTACTCCTTCTAGCCCTGTGTAGCAGATCCAGCAGTACTGCTCGATCACATAGACCATGTGTCTCTGTCAAATAGACCAGTGTTTCCCAATCCGTTCCCTGGGGATCTGCAGCGGTCCATGTTTTTGCTCCCTCCCAGCACCCAGTAGCAAAAATATAGACTGGCATGGAACTGGGAGCCCAGCTGGGGGTCCCTGAGGACTGGGTTGGCAAACACTGACATAGACCATCATAGCCACTTAGCACGGTCATGGCTTAGGTCCATTATCAACCGAATATGAACAGCTTGCTTTGTTTTTCGAGAAGTGCTGCTGTATCTAAGGTCAATATTACAGGACAGCTGCTCTTATTTCTCCTTCTCTGTACTATTTCAGCTTAGCAGAGGCAATGAAATAGTGCCTGCCAGCCTCGTTTTAATTAGGTCCACTGAAAAAAAAAGAATTAATACACAAGTGACTCTGTGAAATTCTCAGCTGAGGCTCTGTACAGCAATCAAGAAGATTTTTTTAACGATTGAAGAAGTAATCTTCATCTCACATTACCTTTATATGTACATCAGTTTGTTTTTTATTATTTGTTTATTGTTCAAGGCAGCGATGGAGTAATTGACCTACGGAGGAGTGTTTTGAGGAGAAGAGGAGATTAGCGCTTAACGACAGTTGTAATGTAATGCTGTAATGAGAGGGTCAGAGGTTCAGAGTTTGCCGTCACAGGAAATGAATTGTGCCAGTATAGCATCAACCAGCCATTTCTGGCAGGAAAACTGTTCCTTGCTCTGTGGCCTGCAGTTTAGAGACAGGATAAAGTCACTCGGTGAGATAGGAATGGAACTATTTACACTGAAATGCTACGCCACTTTTCCGAATGGAAATGTAAAATCATCTACTTGTATTTCTGAATACAGTTCTATAAGAAGGCAGAGAGTATTTCTGTTTAAACACAAAAGTAACGTTCTATTTTTAAGTAATTTGCAAAAAATAACCAGGTTTTTGATGCTTTGAACTGGTGTCTACAAATAATTATGCAGTATTTTTTGTGTTATTTTGTTTTTTTTGGTACTGCACCTTCATAATGCATTTGTAGAACATTTGGTGCACCTTCATAATGCATTCAATAAGCATTCATAGAACATTCATAAGCAGCATGTAGGTATACCTTAACAGCTTTAATATACATTAATAACAAACATTGTCATAATAAATATTGCAATCTATAATCATATAATGTTATTTAATGTATACTAAAGCTGTTAAAGTATGTTAGGATGTTATGGTATACTTACATGCCACTTATAAATGCATTATGAAGGTGCATGGAATGTTCCATGAATGTCTAATGAATGTATTATGAAGGTGCAGTTAATGTAAAGCTTCATCTTTTTTTCATTCTTCACAAATTTAAGATAAATATTCTAGCCCCCTCTGTTGTATTTGCAATAACACTGCTGTTTTTTTTTTTGTTTTTTTTTTTAAATGATGCAACAGCACGTAAAATATGGATTATTAAAGCCTGACACAGGAGAGAAACACTAAGAAAAAAGGTTGTCCAACTGTAAACTTTTATAATAAAATACACTGATATCCTATTGTTTTTCTATTTAAAACTATCCAGAAAATGTTACTTTGGTGTGCACAAAAACGTTTGTAAGAAAATAAAGGTGGAACTGAAGCTTTTGTCGTCCTGCATCACCTTGGGCTTTACCCCGACTCTCAGAGTTACCAAAGGGGCCATTTAATGAGTCTTGGATACGTCGAGAATCGTTGAAAGTTGAAGTTCGACGACTTCGTAATGACACAGAAGGACCTTTTTCTTCCTAACAAGCAGTCCACTTGTTAGCAGTCGATTAGTAACATAAACGTCTTACATAATCAAACGGCAGGAAAATCATGGCCTCTTTGGGAAAACCTGGCTGTACTTAATTGTCACTCTGCAGCCTGTGGGTCTTGGGATTTCCCTGAGCTGCCAAACCAATCCTCCACTGAGCCAAGCAAGTAAACACAGGGGCTACTTATTTTTATGTCGAGAACACAAAGGCAGGCAACTTCTGAGGTAGTTACCACTGGCGTGGGGTGGGAGGGGTATCAGGACAAAGTCACATTTCACCAGCTTCAAAAAACCTTTTACAGGAGCCTGTGACAGAATTTACTATCACTGGTCAGATATAATGGATGTAATTTATTTTAGCTGCTCTCCAGATAGTAATATAGGTTACATCATTTGTACAGATTTGTAAAATTGTTTGTGGGCACTTAAGATGTTATTCTTTTAAATTAGTTTCAAGAAAAAATCTGAAGGCATGGCAATTAGTGTGAGTATCAAAGTCAAAGGTTATTTTGCTCATCAAGACAATCATTAACATCAATTTGTTCTCCAATTTTTTTTTCTGGGAAAATTTATTTGTGGTTGTAGCCATACAAATTCCTAGGTTAACAAAACAATCAGTGTCAGCAAATACGAAGAAAATTACAGGCCTACAGTACTTCCCATGTATGACCAATTACCCCAGAATTATTGGTCTCAAGTGAACACATGTAATATGACTATTTACTTTGAAATTATTGAAGTAAAATGTTCCTACCAGGAACATTCTATATGTCACAGCAGGTACCTTTTCTCAAAAAATTAAACATTATACTTAACAAATAAGCAGTCATTCCAAATATTGTTTAAACTCTTATACCACACAATGCAGCATCATAATTCCATGTTATACTTTATTAGCAAGGTATTGTGTTATAATGGATTACTAATTATACATTTATGATAGCATTATTTATATAATATTACATATATATATTTTTATATATAAGTGGTTATGGAAGGTGGGTGGACAGATGGAGGGATTTGATAAATGCATGTGTGTTGCAGGATTAAATGAGCCAAAGTTGCAGTCTTCGATGGAATGTATCATGTGAATGTGATCCAAACACAACCACAGTGCACAAGGGGCAAGAGGGACAGGAGCACCCAAAAACCTACCGTCAGCGATGTCCTTCACAGGGTGCAAACGTGGAGCTGTGTGCTGCTCTCGCCGTGACAGCAGGGAGCCACTCACCAGCTGAACAACTGATTATTTATAACTTGACAGCCAAGTTGTCAAACTGGAACAGACTGTGCAGGCAGACATGAGATTCATCCTTTCATGTTCATCCACTTCTAGGCCATATGGTCATTTATATTTGTTAGGGAGTTTGTATTTGGTAATTTCATTCTTAGACGCAGTATCAAACTAATAGTCGTGTAGATATTTTGATTGATCTATTTTAGTTTTCACAATCTGTGATCTTTCTTCACCCAGATTTTTGTCACTCTTTCTTTATAGAAAATTCTACAACTAGTGAATAATCTTATACAAGAAAATTATATTTGAGTTTTTGGATTAATGTATTTTTAAAAGCTATTTAGTAACAAGACATCTTGGTGAATGTTTCCAAAATGAAAGAGGATGATAAATTGCAGAGTACTTGGCATGTACCACTGGAAAGTTATGATGTAACATGTTGCCATTGGCAAATATGTCGCAAAGTAGCACACCATCTATGCACAAACAGATTACTTCATTGTACCAATGCTCTTCACCATAGTAAAGTTTTTTTCTAGCCAAGAAGAGTGAGCCACTGTGGAGCCATTATAAATGGTATTTAAATTGATATAATGAATACATTCCTCAAAAATGATCCAAGCATCTTGCTCCCGTGAATTTAAACTATATTCATTTATGTCAGGAGAAACTGAAAGTAGAAGAGATTTAGAAAAAAATATTAAAATAGAACTTTATTAACATAGTTTAAAGTAAGCATTAACAAACACACATACGTCAAGCTGCATACCCATGTGATGACAGGTCTTCTGCCTATCAGGATTTTCCTCCTTGGCTGCCGTGTCTCTAAGCACAGTGCTGACAGGCTTGGAGCCGCTGATTGTGACAAGCAGATGAGATGATTGGATAGGACTCAAGTGGCCAAGCTACATGGGAATCTCCAAGGATGATGCAGTGATGATGAAGTGATCAGCAAAGAATCCATGACACTTAGCTGGACATTAAATCAGAAGAAAGTCAAGACCAGAAGAGAGAAAACCAATCCAACCAATCATTAAGTCAACAGAGAAAGATCAAAAACCAGAGTCTCACTTAGAGTCAGTCTGAGCAGGTGAACATTACCAAGGCCAAGGCTGAGCGAGGAAGCAATGACAGCATAGAGCTGAAAAAGACTGCTAGATCAACTCCACCCACCCACAACAAAGCAATGGTTCCTGATGGCTTTGATAGTGAAACCCCAGGTCCAACCAAGGAGCCCTTCAGTTTCAGGTATGAGATTCAGACTGGAACTGACAGGACAGCAGAGGGGGCTGACTGGGCAGCGATCGCAGAATAGACAAGGAAGAAGACAGGCAGCATCACCCAGAGGAAGCAGCAGACTGGAAAATGGACTGAAAACAGGACTGAAACTAGACTGACTGATGGGACTTGGACTGTTGTGAGGTGCCTACGTTCCATGGGAGGCTTCTTGGAAGGGGTGTGGCACAGTCCAGTGATGGATGAGGTCCAAGGATGTCACCAGATCCAGAAGCTCTCATCATGACTGTAACCCTGCTAGTCGACAATACAAGGTATTCAGTCCAGGAGGTCCTTGACACTGTGTGTAGGTCCCCATCCTGGAGTCTAGGAGCTCGAGGGGTAATGGAACAGGAGTAAAGGTGGTATTGAAGGTTTTGATAGGGATACTTGAAAGGAAAGGATAATCTTGAAGTGGTGTCATGGCAAATGGAGACTGATATGATGCTCAATGGGCAAGGCGGTCAACCCATTAGGTGACATATGCGTCTGCATAGCCTGCTATTATCTGAAGGTGCGCTGACTTAGCAAACCGCTGATGTCAAGGTCTGAGAAAAAGTGGAATAACTCAGTGAGGTCTGCAAAACAACAGTATGTAAGCTGAAGTACCAAGGAACAGGGAGTCTCATGATTTCTTAGCTGGATAACTTGTTGGATTTAAGGTAGTCTGGACTAAATGTAAGCAAATAAAGATAAAGTTGATTTAAACTTTGAGAA